ATGAGGGAACCTTCCCTATCCACATCTCATGAGGTGTTTTGGCAACCTTCTTTTTTGGGAATAGATTAAGAATATGGGCGACAATCTCCAAGGCATACCCCCAAAATGATATCGAAAGTGAAACTCGACTCATCATGCAACGAACCATGCCTAACAATGTTTGATTACGCCTCTCAGCCACACCATTAAGTTGTGGTGTCCTAGGAGGTGTTAATTGTGAAACAATTCCACATTCCTAGAGGTAGTAGTGGAACTCGATACTAAGATACTCACCACCCCTGTTGGATCTAAGCATCTTGATCTTCCTGCCCAATTGATTTTTGACTTCATGTTTAAACTCTTTGAACTTTTCAAAGGTTTCTGACTTATGCTTAATTAAGTAGATATATCCATAGCTACTATAATCATCGGTAAAAGTCACATAAAATTGATTCGCATCCCTTGTAGTGGATCTGAAGGGTCCACACACATCCATGTGCATGAGATCCAACTTTCCCTCACCCTTTTCACATGAACCCGTGAAAGGTGATTTAGTCATCTTTCCAAGCAAACAATACCCGCATCTATCATCTGACCTTAAGTCAAATGATTCCAACACTCCATCCTTTTGGTGTTGGGCAATGTGCTTCTTGTTGACATGTCCAAGACGAAAATGCCACAAGCATGCTTTGTCTAAACCATTAGATCCATCAATTTGTAACACACTATTTCCTAAATTGTCTACTACCATCACAATTTCATATACACCATCACAAGGAAATACTTCAAAATAAAATACACCATTATAATAAGCATTAATAGAACCATTCTCGTTATTAAAGGAATATCTAAAACCTTATCTGTACAAACCATGAAATGAAATAATATTCCTTGTCATTTCTGACAAGTAGCAACAGTTATTTAAATCTAAACTTAACCCACTACTAAGCACTAAAGAGTAAATCCTAATTTTGGTAACATGAGACTATCTTCTATTACTCATAATCAGGTTCATCTTCCCATGCTCCACATCCTCACTTCTTCTTAGTCCTTGCAAGTCTGAGCAAATGTGAAAACCACATCCTGTATCAAGGATCCAAGAAGTAGAATGCGATGAGTTTTTAGATTGAATAGTGTAAATACTTGCCGATGTTTGCTTGATCTTGACATCCTTTATATCTTGCAAGTACTTGGGTCCACTTCTCTACCAATGCCCTTTGTCATGGCAGTAGAAGCAAGCATCCTTTTTTGGATTAGAATAGTGGGCTTCAGAACTAGACTTACCTTTAGGGCCATTACTTAACGACCCGACTTGAGACTTTCCCTTCCAATTCTGTTTCGAGGGAGCTTTCCTCTTCTTCCCCTTCCCTTGCCCAATGGCCAAGACAAGAGTAGCAGTAGTAGGAGTGAAGTCAATACTCTTTGTCTTCAATCCACTCTCAGCAGTTCTCAACAAGCCTTGTGTTGACTCAATCTGACTTCCTCTTTGTTCAAATGATAAGTCATTTTGAATTGATCATAATAAGGAGGTAAAGAGTGCAATACTATGTTAATAGCCAGCTCCTCATCGAAGTTCACCTTAATTTTCAGCAAACGATCGACATAGCGCTGCATGCGTTGCAGGTGGGTCGTGACGGACTCTCTGTCCTTCATCTTGGTTATGAATGACTTGACTATCTCATACCTTTCTTGACGTTCTCTTTGATAGTACTTATCCATCAAGTCCTTGCACATCTCATAGGGCCAATAGTCTTCATAAAACTGTTGTAGCTTAGGAGTCATAGTTGCCACCATAATACACGACACTTTAGTTGCGTCTTTGTAGTGGGCCCATTTTAAGCATCAATTTATTAATCAGTTCCTTTAATCCCAAAATTAATACCAAATTAACTTCTGATTAAATACTAATTAATAATATGATTTCTAATTAACATATTATTCTATATATATATATATATATATATATATATATATATATATATATATATATATATATATGGTAATTATGATAAAGATAAAAGATTAAAAGATAAAAATAAAAGCCTAGGGTTAATGTGTTAGTGAGTTAGTTATTCATCTAAAATCCTTGATTAAATTCGACATATCCTCAATACCTATAATCATTAATCTTGAGAGAGTCAGAAAGTTATGTATAGATCTATACAAGGCCATGACAACCCCACCTGCGATTGCTAACTACAATCCCGACATGATTCCTTCCATATAAGTTACTATTCGACGTCCGATGAAGCGTCGTGATTAGGGGTACATTTACGGTCGTACCGTCGATTATAGGGCTCACGTTAATACGTTAAAAATTACCTTAGAGCTTAGATTACCATTAGGGACACCTGATATGGTAATTAAAATACGATAGGATCGTTAGATATCCTAAAAAAAAATAGTAAATTTGGGTTAACAAAAGATAATCTTAATTAAAATACGTTAGGATTGTTAGATATCCTAAGATTAATAAAAGACACCCTAAAATATAGAAGGCTAAGTAAATAAATAAGAAATGTTTTCACAAAAGAAAAGTATTCTTAAAAGAATTCAAAAATAAAATTCATGCGCTCACCAACATTATGTTGACTTTCCAAATGCATGTATTCTCAGGATAATATGATCGACGCTCTTTATATCGTCACACTGCTCGATGTTTCCCCCACAGACTGGGCAGGGGTGTGACATCATATGATGCACGCCATACTCACTCATTTTCTCTTTATACACTTGTAGATTTCCTAACTTGTTCTTGATTAACTTTATTTAAATGTTTATGATTCAACAAGTTTTTTTATTGACATGTATATTTTTAAATGCATAAAAATATGTACTTGTAGTTCTAAAAACATATTAATTTGCGTTTTTTTACATCTTAAATGGTTTATCCAAGAAAAAACCCATACACACACACACATATATATATATATATATGTATATATATATATATGAAGAAATAACATTAAAAAAAATGTAAATACAATACTTAATTAAAATTTTTTTGTATATAAATATAAATTTTCTGCATGAATACATATAATATGAAAAAAAAATACAAAGGGTAAAAGTGTAAAAAAAATATAAACTTAAGGGTAAAAACGTAAAAAACTATAAACTTAAGGGTTTTTTTGCGAAGCTAATATAATGTTAACCTATTATCACGGTAAAAGGGTAAAACCGAACATTTTTTGGAAAATGTTAGGGTAAAAACGGACATAAAATTCAACTTTGGGCAAAACCAACAAAAACCTGAAAACTTGAGGGTTTTTATGACATTAACCCTATGTATTTAGGGGGTATTTGGGATTGTTTTTTTAGCTTAAAAAGTCATTTTCATAAAAGGACTTTTTGATTTATAACTTTTTCCAAAAGTAGATTTTAAAAAGCGTTTGTCATATTATATTTTTTTTACTTGATTGATGCCGGAAATAAATTTTTGATAAAAACAACAAATAATTTTAAATAAAAACATGTGCTGTTTAATCAATAATCAAAATCATTAGCTATAATGCGGTGAAGATGATACCATTAGTATTTACTAGTTAGCCATTGCCAATTAGTTGAATAAATACTTTGTCATATTATATATATATTTTCCTTTTTATTTTTTATTTTTTTTTAATAAATCTGTGAGCCTTAACGTATTCGAGTTGTTTTCTTTCAATAATCAATTCCTAACATTTGTAGTCATGAGTTGTTGCATGAACATCGAATATTAAATTATACATTAGTTGTTGGTTAAACCGTAAGTAGTCTTTATCATTTATCATCATTTTACTATGTATTAATTATTAAATTATACAACTCTTTTCTTTTTAATCTTTTGTGAAAAATATCCATAAAAATCGCACCAAAAAGGCTCCTAATTTACGAGTGGACCTGACCCACCAGATATTCTTTAACTTTCTTTTAATCCTACAATGCAACTCGTTTAAAAGTTGTCGTTGCCTTCATCCATCATTCGCGTTGCCAATTGCGAAGTAACAAACGCGAAAGTGGCCTCAAAATTCACCATGACTAAGTGTGTTGTATTGGTACCAAGTGTGAGCAAAATGGAATGAGTATATATATCCCATACATGGGTTTCGTTTTAACACCCATTCGTATATCCTTCTACCATTCGTATATCCTTCTACCATTTGGGCATATAACCAAACGATTTATGACCATCATATTTTTTTAATATTTCTTTTATCTACAAACTTAAAGTGATTCCAAATACTTGATTAATGAACCTAAGAAAAAGATAAGTAAGAATATGATTTTGAAAGAATACCTTGCCAGCCACCACTACTAAATCACCACACCCTCAAGTTAAATTGGTGCTTGCTGTTTGCACCCGGTGAGCCATTGCACCAGGTGTTAAAGTGTAGGCGTTTTGTATCCATCAAACAAAAACGGGTTATAATTGGATAGATGTATTTGAAAACATATTTAGAGAACATCCTAAAATATTCATAGTATCATTATAAATATACAAATCAAAACTCTGAAAGTCATGCTAACGAAAAAATGGCATCTCACGAAAAAATTACGAGTCTTTACATCATCGTGAATTAGCGACATAAGATTCTCTCTCTCTCTCTCTCTCTCTCTCTCTCTCTCTCTCTCTCTCTCTCTCTCTCCTCTCTCTCTCTCTCTCTCTCTCTCTCTCTCTGAAAATATAAGTTTCTGTAAAAATACGTAATCTTGAGAAGTTTATAAAATCTTTGCGATTTGAGTATTTCCCTACTTCGAGGCCAAATTTTGCAAGACCTTTTTTGTAGTAATTTGTTTTTGTGTCAGAAAAAACTCTTGAATTCACGATTTTTGTTAGCAAATTTGGTAGTTGTTTTGTGATAATTGAGTATATATCTTAC